GTTTTAGGAAATTATCAATTAATCGAATTTAGAAACAAAATCAATTTATTACCATATTTGAAACCCACGGTTTCTAAAAGATTTTTTCAAAAAACATTTTGTAATATTAATTAATAGATAAATATTTATGACAATGACATTCTCTTGTAAATAAGTGTCAACTAAAGATTTATTTCATATTTGTACTTCGAAAATGTATATATAGATACATTACAATATCTCTCTCATATACGTGAAATGTCGAAATATGGTACGTTTCATTAAGGATCTAGCGAAGGAGGTCTTTGAGACACACTCTGTTTGAAGGGAAACACAGGAATGTGGTTAGGGTTGAGAGATATATTTCATGGGTACCTTTGTTCTAAATTTTGACTTGTTTGCAATTTTTTTTAAAAAACCCAAGATTTCAATTGTTAAAGTCTCGATGAAGATTACAGCGGTGAGAGTTCTTCTCGTCGTCTTCTTCATTTCGATTTCCAGCGTCTCCGGTCATTGCTATTTTCCGCATCTTTCGGCTACCGCTCCTATCAATCAGGAATGGGTAAAAATGAAAGTAGATGTAAAATTATTACTTAAATGCGAGTATTCTCTTTTGCTTTGATATATATTTTTGTTGTTTGTAAATATATGGTCACAAGCTATACATACTTCCGAAAAGATGGATATCTCCGAAAGATCGGGCATTACCGACATCGTTGTCGTCTTCATACCACAGTCTGGAGCTTCAATTGTCTGAAATTTTTCCGTCAGCTTTTTCTCTTTTTTCATCATATTTCAATTGTATTTTTATTTGTAGTTTTGTTTGGTTACCTCTGTTTAACAATAAATTGTATTAATATTTTATTATTTTTAAGAAAAATAATTTATGCTTTTTATCTTATTTTATAAATTACTTAAACATTGTAGTTTATAAAACGTCCCCATATATATTATTTTATCAATAATAATTTAGTTTGTATCTTTGTTTTTAGTTTATAACACATAAATATTATTTGATATGTGGAGGATTTTGAACTTTTTCTTTCAATTCTAATGAACATATAAACTCTTAAAATTATTCCTTATTCCATGAATAGTATAAAATTTTAGGTTTTGAGAACTATTTGTCAAACACTTTTAATTCTACTATCCTTATACTTATTATTATAAAACCAAAAACAAAACACATTTTAATATTGGATAAACTTGCCAAAAATAATATTTTAGAATTTTTAAATATTTTTGCTTAAATAGAAAGATTCTTTATGTATCAAAGACATTAAATTTTTTAATCGAAATTTATTATTTCCTAAATTACTAGAAAAAATGATTTTCTTAAATAAAAATAAATAAATTGTATGGTCTAAAATTGATACAGCCATTAGAGGAATCATTAGAGGAATGACTATTAGTCAGATTTATAGGCCAGATAGGCTTATTTGGCATTATACAAATTCAGGGAAATATACAGTAAAGTCTGGATATCGACTAGCTCGACAGATGTGCGAGACGGTAGAATGGGGACCAAATTTTAAAATCCTACAAGCTCAAGCGTGGAAAGTCAAAGCTCCTCCAAAAATAAAACATTTCTTATGGCAAATCGCTTCAGGATCTTTGGCAGTTACATCAAAATTAGTACAGCGAGGGATTAGCTGTGACACTATTTGTAAAAGGTGTGAGTTGGCAGAGGAAACTATAAATCATGCTTTATTTGCGTGTTCTCATTCTCTGAAATATGGGAATTATCCGCGGTTCCTTTGGTTCCAGGTTGTTTTCCACTAAATTCGGAACTTTCAAATCTAGATTATCTTTATTGGAGGATACCACCTCCTCGAGATGGGGGGAAAAAACAAATTGTTTTGCCTGGATTTTGTGGTTCATATGGAAATATAGGAATAAAAAATTTTTTAAAGGAATACAAACAGATCCTACAGATATTTTAAATCACGCCTTGAGTGAGAAATTACTGTGGGAAGAAGCTCAAATGGATCCGATCGACAATATTACATTTACGGAATTTTCGGAACCCCCAAACCAATCATTACGATGTCGGTTTGATGGTTCATGGAAAGCTACGGATCCAACAATGGGTTTAGGTTGGTGGTGTTTTCAGGGAACTGCTCAAACTATACTGCTTGGTGCAAAATGCCTTAGGAGATCGCCCTCACCCCTTCATTCGGAAATGGAAGCTTTAATTTGGGCCATGAAGAATATCCTTTCAAGAAGGATTGCCTGTCAGGCGTTTGAATCAGACTGCTCAGAATTGGTCTCGATGGTACAGTCACCTGACGAATGGCCAGCTTTCTCCAACCTTCTAGACGAGTTTGGTTTGCTACGTGTTTCCTTTTCATCTTTCTCACTTTCCCTTATTTCTCGTTCTTGTAATTTAAAAGCGGACTGTTTAGCGCGCTCTTCTAGACTTTTATTTTCTGAAGCTACTTTTGTAAACATTTCTCCTCCTAGTTGGGCAACCAACCAATGAATTTTTTAATAAATGTGTGGTTGACAAAAAAAAAAAAAAAAAAAAAAAAAAAAAAAAAAAAATTTGATACAACCTTTTTCCTATAAATATCATGTATAGTGTCCATCCATCCAACGCAATCCTTGTAGAAAGAGTCAATTCTTGTGGGTTCTTCAACAAGTATATTAGATTGATGAAGTTGTAAGAAGCACAAAACCCACATTCACCTTTGAATATCGATACTCCAACACTAATCATCTCTACGATATAGATGTAGGTTTTGCTTCGTGCCTCTCCTCTACTTAAGCATAAAGCAACATATATGTATAAAAAGCAATAAAGAAAACCACCTGTCTTCTTTTGAGCAGATAAAACTTTACGCTAGTTTTGAGTTTAATTATTGGCAGCTGTTTAGAAAACAGATCTATGCTTCTATTTACGGTTCAAAATATTGATCCCAACTAGGTGATATACTAGTGTCGACGGGTTGTATCCTCACAAAAAGTTTCGATTAAGTCTACCACCCCATCAAACTTGACCCTTGGGCTCTAGGTACATCAAAATTTGACAATGTCTATCCCCACGACGTTTAAAATTTGCTCAACGATCTAGAATTAAGCTTTCGCTTCGTAGACCCTTCACTTCGAGCATAAAGCAATATGTTTACAAATAAATAAAAAAAAAACCATCACCTATCTTCTTTTGAGCAAAGATAATTCGTAAGCATCGAGTTCAATTGATGTCATCAGTTTTTTTTTTAAAAACACTCATATACTCTTCTATCATTAACGGTTCGAAGAATTAATGACAACTATGCATAAAATGTTGTATGCATCTAACTAAAGAAAGTAAAATCAAGGGTATATGTATTTTACTTTATAACATCTTTCCTGATCAAGTTGAAGTTTGCTGGTTGCAAACGCCTAATTTGAAAATGATGCTCTCGAATCTACGTCCGCGGAATTCCTTTTGTGTAGATATATCAAAAAGCTAGGCATGTTTCTCGGTAGTAAGTACTTTCGTTAGAACTTCCTAATAAAAGGATGTTAAATGACAACTTGTTTGTAACTTTTCTCAATGGTAGTCACATTTAACTATCATACTCCACGAAAATGCCTTGTCCTTCAAAATATTCTTGATTTACGTATGTGAATTTTATTGTTCCTTGTCTTGTCCAACTCCTACATAATTCTATCTAGAAGAGATTAATTTTCCACGACTTCTATAATATTATAGTGACAAGTTTAGAGTTTTCGTGTTCGTTGAGGAGTTTTCGTTTCCACATTGTCCAATACTATAATAAGTTAGAATTGTTATTTTATTTTCTTCTTCTTTTTATTGATTTTCATGCCAAATGGGTGGCTGACAATAAGGAGTGTTGAGTTTTCTATTTTGTAGTCGTAAGCCAATAAAACTATATAATATAGTCTTTATATCTTGAATTCTGACCGATTATCATTTCTTTCAAAACGAATTATATTCTTTGGAAAATTTTCTCCCAAACTTATTTTACTATTATACATTGACTATTATGATTATTCTTTCCCTTTATTATTGACTTTTCTCCTGAGAGGAACAAAACCTTGTCTGATTCGGTTTGTCAAGGTGTGATATTTTTTTTTTTATCTATTCTCATGTAATGATGTTGAGATATATTAGCCAAGAATTTTCTATACTTTTTAAGCAAAAGCATGAAGGTTTCTATGAGGCTTCTTAGTCATTTCTTGAGCATGTTCATACGTGACTTAACTTTCCTGTAGCCCTCATAGATTAAGACAACAAAACTTGGTCTACACAAGTTTTAACAAAAGAAATAGCATCAAAAGAACAAAATTTGGTCTAAACTTTGTCCGGTAAACTTAGATACTTTGAATTCTGCCATAACTATGGTATAAGTTATGAGTGGTAAATAAGGTTCCTCGTAACTTGGTTAAAGAACATTTCTTTATTAGGACTTGTCTGCAAAAGTTGAAATACTTCATACTTGTACTAATACGTACTAGTGGTGACATGCTATAAAAGTCATCTTGGTTTAAAGAATGATATAACATAACCATTTGTATCATTAGTTGCATTTGGTCTAATTTTACAAGAGCCATTTGTCATATAAATAATTTTACGGGTGGGATCAAAAACTAGGTAGCTAACAAGTTTTTAATACCTATATATTGTGTTAATTCACCTGCTTTGTTTAGGTTTGATTCTGATCATGCGCTCGTGTGCATGAAAGTACCACACATGCATGGAAGTCAACAAGTTGATAATATCCACTAGGTCCGATTTATAAAAAAATATTACTTCACCTCTGCAGTGGCATGGCATTGAAGTCAGCTACCATGCACCATCTATTATGACACCAATTTTTTGGGAATCTGAATGTTAGTCCTAGTTGATGAAAAAAGAAAAGAGAAGAATGTTAGTCCTAGTCCCACTATAGGTTTCTTCGTCGTAAAACTTGAAGTTGTTCTTTTTTTTTTTTTTTTTTTTTTTTCTAATCTAGAATTTCCAAAAGGTCAGATTACATACAATTCACAAATATAAAGATAGTTTAAATTCATTTCAATAAAAGTTGTTGTAGCGTCAATATTTTTTAAAAATATCCGTTTCTAACAATTTTAGCTAATTGACATTAGCTATAATATGTTTGTTTTGTCTATTATACATACAAATTTTTTAAATGGAACGCAAGGAGTATTAAATATTAGGTTTCTGACCAAAAGAAAGGATGGCATTGATTGCTAGAGATTTCAAATGATATATATTTGTTCTTCAAATGTTATTTAAGTACCTACAAATAATAATCTATTTAAGAAAATAATATGCTCATATATTGGTCCAACATTTAATGGACAATAAGAAGACATGGTGTGAATATATCTGACTCACTAGCCGTGCATGGATTGGCTGCTTCAGAAATTTCTGCACTCTATCCACTTGAAGGTGACATATATATACTCATTTTAATAGTGCTTATTGGTACTTACTTGGAGTATATATATACGCACGTATCAGATCAGGTTGTATTATAATTGTCTACATAATCGAAGCTGTCATAACTTGCAAGTAAAGAATGGTCAGTCTAATGTTCTGTAGTTCGGCCTCACCTTTATGTTCTTCTCCATCAAAAATTACCAAGGCTAGGTACTTTTTTACAAATTGTAATGCAAGACATGGACTCAAAAGATTTTACTTTCTATTAATTTATCGCTATCTTATAATCGGCTTAATGATACACTGAAACTTTACTCTTTCTTCTACAGTTTGGACTTCGATATGAAGAAACTTGGTAAGTTTATTTTCTCATCTTGAATCTCAAAACTATGAGAAGATATAGCTGTATATTTGGTTATCTCTTGTCCTAATTATGCTAGCTTTTTCAGGTGGCAGCACAAAACTTGTCCGGAACGTGAATTTGGAGAAACTAAAGAACAATTATTTGTTTCCTGAAGTAAGTTCATAACCTGATCTCATCTTTATTGCTTTATATAGATATTCCATTATTTGGTATTTAATTGACAGTTTGTTTTCGTGTAAATAGATCAACAGACGTGAGCTTGAGCACATTGAAAAGCATCCAAATGTACAATTGATAAGCCTTGGGACTGGTGATACAACAAAGCCTATACCAGAGCAAATAACCTCACATATGTCTAACGTATGACTCTTTTTTTTGGTATTTGATTTACCTTTTTAATTTTTTTTTTGCGTTAAGCCCTAGCTAAAACATATGGAAGGACTATAACTTCTTACTAAAGGGTCTAAAAAAATGTTTTTGTCCCGGGGACCAAAAAATATTGAGCCGGTCCTGGTCCTGTGTACCGACGGATAGTATTTCTTCATCTCCAAAACTCGTGGAAAAATCTTAATCTAATTTTTGTGATGCAACTACCTAATCTGATTTTTCTGCATGATAGAAAATTGTGTGAGGGATCGTATTGCCCTAGTTGCATTTGCATAGTAATATCTTTGATTTAATCCCCCAAATCAGACAAGCTGCCGGTTGGTAACCAGTCTGGTCTGAAATTTATCCTAAACCACAAGACCCTGAGACCCACTTAAACATAGTCAAACTCTGTTTGAAATCAGAAATTGACCGTTTTGTGGTATAGCCCGATTTTCTTACATGAAGGCTTAAACTGTTCAACTCATACAAATCGTCTTCTTGACTGGACAATCTCAAAAGTCAGATGTCGTTCGTTCTCTTCTTGCTTTTTTCGAAATTTTCGATATTGTCATGGTTTTTGTTATCATGCAAATTAATTATTTTTCTTCAAATTTTTTTAATGGTCGTCGACGCATATGTCGGCCTTTTTTTTGGTCTAGCTCGGTTGGTCTTTTATGTATGTGTATGTTTCGTATATTATAATAGGATGATATGAAGATTTCTCGAGTATTTTTTTGTGGTTAACAGGAAAAATCACAATGTCTATGCTTCGTGAATGGTTCTTTTTTTATTTTAGTTTTAGTAATATCTCTTGTCCCATTATGCGTTCGTTTATATATAATTGCTCTGGTGCAACAAGGGAAGACATGTGTTTCTTTGTCAAATATCTATGCTTTTGTTATTTCTATTGTCCATAGTGCTTTTATAGTGTATGTTTTGTCTGACTTTCATCGACTTTGGTTCTTTTGTTTTAACTACTTTGATTGATGTATATTGCTCTTCTGGTATTTTCTTATATATGTGTAGGTAGTGAATTTTTTTTTATTGTTTTTAAACTATATAATGAAACTATCACTTGGTAATTAAATCATTGGCAATTTTGTCACTGAACAAGGGAAAAATATGTAAAATATAATTTTTTAGATTTTTTTGGAAGACTAGTACTTAGTACTTAGTAGTCAACTAGTCATTAGTAAGTAGTAACATGTGTTGAATTTTGATTATTCAGTTCGCACATGGCCTATCGACGGTAGAAGGATATAGAGGGTATGGACTGGAACAAGGAAATAAGGTAATTATGGTCCTCTTTTCTTTGCGTTGACAAAAGTTGTTTCAATTTAATTTGTTGTTTATTCAACCGATCCTAACCCTAAGTTCTAAACATTTTTTTTCTGGATATTTTACCTCTTTTATATTTGTAAACCGAAAGAAGGATTTAAATTAAACTTACATTTTCATAGTCTCATTATCGTAGTCTCTAGTGAGACTATAAACCAGAGAATTATTTAAGTAGTGAGTCTATTCCTTTGTATTAACATATATATATTTTTTTTCTTAGACCCTGCGAAAAGCTATTGCTGAAACGTTTTATAGAGATTTGCACGTAAAAAGCAATGAAGTTTTTGTATCAGATGGTGCACAAAGTGATATTTCTCGTCTTCAGGTATGCATCTAGGCCAGAGTATTTTGACTTTCTTGATATTTAACACATTCTTTTGGCGTTATGCTGATTCGAGTTTCAAATCTTTAGCTACTCCTAGGCTCCAACGTCACAATTGCTGTGCAAGATCCTACCTTCCCGGTACTATTTTATGTTTACGTTCTCATTTTTTAATGAGAAGTTGTTTTTTTTTTTTTTTGCCTCTTATGCTGCTTTTTTTGTTTTGGATTCAGGCTTACATAGATTCAAGTGTGATAATTGGTCAGACTGGTCATTTCCATGAACCAACCAAGAAGTACCAAAATGTTGTCTACATGCCATGTGGGCCTAAAAATAGTTTTTTCCCTGATCTGGCTATGACCCCAAGGACTGATGTCATCTTCTTTTGTTCTCCTAATAACCCTACTGGTTATGTTGCATCCAGAAAACAACTACATCAACTAGTTGATTTTGCAAAGAGAAATGGTTCCATAATTATTTTTGACTCTGCATATGCTGCTTTTATCGAAGACGATAGCCCACGTTCAATATATGAAATTCCTGGTGCTAGAGAGGTGAGAGTAGTTTACATAATCATGTCTATTTATTGTGGCCGTCCTTTTGCATTCATCCATTGAATTACTCTTTGCTAGGTGGCGATTGAAGTTTCTTCATTCTCTAAGTTTGCGGGTTTCACCGGTGTTCGGCTTGGTTGGACTATCATCCCTGATGAGCTCTTGTACTCTAATGGTTTTCCCATTATCAACGATTTCCATCGCATAGTTACCACTTCCTTCAATGGAGCTTCAAATATTGCTCAGGCAGGTGGACTAGCATGCCTTTCTTCTGGTGGCCTTAAGGTAATAAAACTTTATAGCATTTGCTTACATTTTTTCTAAATAACCCACAATGGTACTAACTAATGCCTTATAAATTCACATGTGCACTCTCATATTTTTGTTTCGTTTTCTTCAATTTATGTTTCTTGGGTTAAAACATTACAGGAGATACGGTCAGTGAACGACTACTACAAAGAGAACAGGAAGATACTGATGGACACTCTAGTCTCGCTCGGCCTCAAGGTTTATGGTGGCGTAAATGCTCCATACTTGTGGGTTCACTTCAAGGGATCAAAATCATGGGACGTTTTTGCTGAGATTCTAGAAAACACTCATATAATAACAGTACCAGGCTCAGGTTTTGGACCCGGTGGAGAAGAGTATTTGAGGATTAGTGGGTTTGGACGCAGAGAGGACATTGTTGAAGCATCAAAGAGGTTGCAGAATTTCTTTAACACACGAACCAAACATTTTACTTATCTCTCTTCTTCTTCTAATACCAATTAGGCTAAACACATATCGTCTTTGTAAGCATCGTCTTGAATAATTTCTCCCACCTATCTTGTACCATAATGTATATTATTGAAATAATAAAAGCTACGGGACCATGTTAGTTGTTTAGCATAATCGTAAGTTTTATCTTCGAAAAGTAAAGGAAATTTTATTCATAAATCGGATCACCTTCTCGTGGAGAGAAAAATTATATATAGGATCGTTTAGCTTAGAGACAAAAATAGAATAATTATTTGTATGAGACAGTAAGATTCTTTGTCGAAGGTGAGGAACAAATAAACGTTATAAATAAATCTGAAATTCGAAAGAATTACAAATAAACCAGTTTCTCTTTTAGCCATACGCGTGGGATACGTTCAGTTTAGCTGAGAAAATGAACGAGTTGATTTTCAATAGGGTTCAAGTGTTAATTTATTTTGAGATAATTGGGTGAGAGATATTGGTTGTTGGGTAAATTAGTTTTTTTGGTAAATTCATATGTGGTCCATAGCAATAAAAATACTACGGAAGACGAATGAATTGTTTTTGTTATTATCTCTTAACTCTTGGATGTTCATTTGCCTAGCATGTTCATCATTTTCTCAAGTCCCATCATCTATTTCTAACATCATTGTTTAATTTCTCTCGGTTCTGATTTAACTTGTTTAATCTGTCGTGTATACTATTCGCTCCATTGCATCGGAAAATTCGCAGTATATACTATTCACTCTGTCGCACCGGAAAATTCGATGTATATACTATTCACTCTGTCGCACCGGAAAATTTTGATAATTTATATTTATCTAAATTCACTAATGTCTTTCCAAGGATTAACTTAGATCTGCATTTTTGTGTTATAGATGTATGTGTGGATGTCCAAAAAACTTTGTAGATATATATTTATATCTAGCATGTTGCCTCCTCTGTCGAGTAGATCTATTATGAGAAAATATATTTAATTTGGAGGACTACAAACAATCTAGAGCTGCCTTTCTGGTTATTTGCGGACAAAGAAGAACATGTTTGGTATAGAGTCAACTTGTTGGTGAAAATTTGACGAAATCCGAAGAAGATTCGGCGATAACTCGACGAAAACCAGTGAACATCATTTGAAAATCCGACGAAATTTATGATTCCAATAATATTTCGGTGTCCAATTTCAGTGCAATTGTCACTTTCTCTGTTCGATATTTTGTGATACGATGGTTGTAATATATGTTTGTAGCGTGTATATAAATTTTAATAACACTTTATATACGTGTTTACATGTATAAAAATGATAATAAACCTCTATATACGTGTTTACATTTATACAAATGTTAATAACGGAGTATTTACGCTTTTGTTTTCTTTTTGGTGGTTCTACATTTTCGTGATATATCAAAAGACCTATTTCTTGGATATCCACACAACAAGGTTAGACCATCTCCACTGCAAGGTTTTTAATCTTGTTCTTAGCTTAATTATGATAAAAATTAAATGTGTAATTGGTTTATTAGTGAAGAGTCGACTCTTAAATAAGAGTCAAAACTAAGGTTAAGAGGCGGACGCGTGTCAATCGTTTATAAGCTGAAGAGAAAATATAAAATAGAAAAAAAGAGAATCGCGTGTTTTTCTCTCTTCTCCTCTCTCTCTCTCTCTCTTTTTCACGTGATTCTCTTCTCTGGCGAAATTGGAGGCAATTCGCGTTTAATCAGAACATCGGAGACTCCTCCTAATCTAAAAAAAGAGAAAATACAAGTTTTCCTCCTAATCTATTCCGACGCCGTGTTAGAATGAACAAGCCCTTGTTCATGCGTATTGTTGATCGACTCTCCAATGAAATTCCATTCTTTCAACAAAGAAGAGAGGTTATCGGAAGGTTAGGTTTCTCTGCATTACAAAAGTCTATAGCAGCAATTCGTATGCTGGTATATGGTTGTGGGGCTGATGCGGTTGACATATACCTCCAGATTGGTGAAAGCACTTCGATGAAGTGCATGGAACATTTTGTTGATGGAATAATTTTTCTGTTTGGAGATGAGGACCTAAGAAAACCCACATCAGAAGATCTTCCACGGCTACTCATTATTGGAGAGATTCGAGGATTTCCCGGGATGATGGGAAGCATCGATTGTATGCATTGGGAGTGGAAAAATTTCCCCACCTCTTGGAAAGGGAAATATACACGTAGTTCTGGAAAACCAATGATCGTTTTAGAGCTTGTAGCTTCCCAAGATCTTTGGATATGACACACGTTTTTTAGACCTCCAGATACTTTAAACGATATCAATATTCTTGATCGCTCTCCAGTTTTTAATGAAATCTTACAAGGTTGAGCTCCGAAAGTGAATTATTTAGTCAACAGGAATGAGTATCATTTGGGCTACTATCTCACTGATGGAATTTATCCTAAATGGACTACATTTATCCAATCTATTTCAATTCCATAAGGTCGGAAAGCATCTTTATTTGCAACCAATCAAGAAGCTTGCCGTAAAGATGTCGAGCATGCTTTTGGAGTTTTGCAAGCTCGATTTGCCATTGTAAAAAATCCGGCTCTTATTTGGGATAAGGTAAAAATATGAAATATTATGCGAGCATGTATAATACTTCACAATATGATAGTAGAAGACGAACAAGATGGGTATACTTAGTTTGATGTATCCGAATTCGAACAAGCGGAATCTGCCGGAAGTTCACAGGTGGATTTCACCTATTCTACAGATATGCTTTCAAATCTCGTAATATGATGGCCACTCGAACTCGACTTCGTGATCGAGCTATGCATCAACAATTGTAATATGATTTGGTTCAGCATATATGGAAATTTTTTGGCAACAATCAAGTTTCAAACTATTAAGTTTTATGTTATGTATGTTATAAATTGTATGTCATGTATGTTTCAAATTTTATCATTTGTGATAATTATTAAGTTTTCTAAAATAAAAATTGTTTATTTTATTTCTTTTTTAAATTAATCTTTTTTTTCTCTAAGAACCACAACTTAAGAGTGTACCATTGGATATAGAAAAAAATTAAAACCATTACACAATCTGAAATATAAAATTTTAAAAATTAATATAAAAACGAATCATAAGAGCTAAGATTAAGAGCCCATTGTTGAGGCTGCTCTTAGTTGTTTAAAATTTTTCAGTTTTTTTTGTAGGATTAAAATTTTTCATTTATGCCCAAACGATTTGGATACCAGTTCAAATTTGAGAGATACATAATAATAAATGCTAATTTTTGCTAAAAAAAAAATGTTAGTTCAACTGGTGCGCATTTAATAAATGTCAGTTTGTTCTTTCGTTTCCCTTAAAAGTGAAAAGTTTCTACCACGCGCAGAGACAAAAAAGACAGTGGTTTTTTCGTAATTATTTGCAAATCCAAACCCTTTTCCAACGTTATTTGTAGCTCGTCAAAAGACAAACATCCCTAATGTTTTTATCCTAATTTTATACTCTATTTTTGTTTTTGCACAAATTCACTCATTTATTTATTTATTTAGAGTACCATATAATTTATAAATATTATATTATTTACTTTTAGTACCATATAATTTATAATGAAAATAATTGCATAAAATATGTATAAAATTTTATTTACAAAAAAAGTATGGTTAAAATGTATTTTATTGGTTTTTAAATTAAAGAAAAAACAGATAACATAACATATCCGCAGTTAACACATTTGAACAACTACATATATGCTGCAAAAGGTGGATCGCATGCAAAACAACAATTACTTTTAAATTTTGGACTGCAAGTGGTTCAAAATTATTTTATTATTGGCTCTGATAAAGAAAGCGTATCGGACAAAGCGGATCAAGCGTATCAAGCTGAACAAAAGCGGATCAGGGAGATCTGGCGGTACAAGTGCGGATCGAGCGGATATTGCGGTTCAAAATAAATGTTTGACTGGTAAAATCGGATCAAAAAGAGGTACGGTTTTCAATCATTTATTGAATAACGCAGTTATGTCATCAATCAACTTTGTTTATTGAAATTTATGTTTAAAAAGAAAAAAAGAATTGCGGTTTGTCCAGAAGATTAAATATTGGACCGCGTTTCAAGTCATTATTCAGTGGTTTGTTCGAAAAACGCAACAGATAATGTTTTTTCTTTTAAATTTCAATTTTTGATAATAAATCTATTATATATATATGGTATATCACCAAAATGATATTACATACTAAAGAAAAAAAAAATTTCTCTCTACCAAAATCATATTACAAATTTACAGTTCCACCACACCACTCCTCTTTATTATTTGTTCCCATCTACGTAGCACGGAAGCGCCGGTGGAGCTCCAATTCCCGCTCCGGAATCGGAATCGGAAACGGGAGCGCGCTTGGAAGCGCCAGGAATCGCAAGGGAAGTGCGATTCTCAAAAAGGGCCGATTAGAATCGTTTTGGAATCGTCGATTCTGAGTTGGAAGCGTGAAAGTGTTTATAAATGGAATCGGGGTCGATTTTTTTTCTTTCTAGTTTTACAAAACCAGATCTAAAGGAAGAAGATGAATATCTCTCTCCACGTGTGTTTGAGTGTTTCTTTATGTTTTTTTACTTTTTTCTCTGAGCCCAATTCTGTTTACATGCTAAGGCCCAATTGTTTGCATTTTTTTTCAAGTTAACGTTGGTTCAATATTACTCCCTCCGTTTTCGAATAGTTATCGTTTTAACTATATGCACACAAATTAAGAAATTATTAATGTTGTTAGTTTTTCAATATAAAAATATTATTAATTATATACCTAAACATAATTTAACCAATAGTAAATCAAGTTGCATAATAAAAATAAATATAAAAAATAAAAAACTAATAAATTTTGTATCGAAAACTGAAAACGACAACTAATTAAAAACAAAAAAATTTCTCTAAAACGACAACTATTCGAAAACGGAGGGAGTATTTGTTTCCATCGGTTCAATAATGTTTAATCATTCAATTTACACTTTAATATATTTGTTAAATATAAAAAACATACAAAATATTAAAAAAAAAATCAAACCACTAAAATTATAAAATTTGCTTTTCTTATTATGTTTTAATTGTGATTCTGATTTGTAATTTATATACTTTAATCTTTTAATTTTTAGACCAATTCAACTAAAATATCAACATTCTATTATATGAATATATATAAGTATATA